CCCTGGGCTCTGAGCAAAGACCCGTCCTCACAAGCACGCGGTCCAGGCCAGGACCCTGTGCACGGTAGGACGCAGGGGGCCACGGCGTTCTAATCTGGACTCCTGGCCGCTTCCGCGGCGGCCCGCTGGAGTTTCTCCCGCGGAGGTCGGCCCAGCAGCGGGCCACCGGCGTCTCGCCTCCCGCCCTGACATGCAGACTTGGGGGGGCGCTGCACACAGCAACCGATCCGGAGCGCAAAATCTGCGTGCCGCGTGGGAGACGCGCGCGGGAGGGGCCGGGTTGGGCTCGCGTTTTTCCTTTTCAGAAGCTTTCGAGTTGACTACGAAGTTTTCTGGTAGGCGCCTGTGCCCTGGGGTCGGAGCCTCCCACCGCCGCTCCTTCCCCTCCCTCCTCCCCGCCCCCCCGCCGCCAGCCCAGCTCGCCGGAGCCTCAGTCCAGGCCTGGCCGCGCTCTAGGTCCCGCAGGCGAGGTCCCCCAGGCCCGGACCCCGCGCCCGAGCGCCGCGCCGGCCTGCCCGCAGTCCTCCCCGGGCTCCGCGGGGGTGCCTCTCCCCGGGGCGAAACTCGCCGGCCGGGCGCACTGCAAGGAGACACCCGCTGCCTCCCGAGGAACTCCTAATACCATCCATACAGCTTTAATGCGTTTATAATTCGATAAGTGATTTCAATTTGAAATTGTTAGTAACTAATTTTATGGGTAATTTTTCCACATCAAATATTTAAGCATCAGATTAAGGGAGCCAGTTCCGACACAGGATAATAAGGGGGTTCCCCCCACCCCCCGCGCCTCCGCCTCCCTCCGTTTCCTACCGAGTCGTTTTTCCAAATCCCCAAAAGATGGCAGTCGAAGCCGACATTCTTCTTTTCCTGCGGCTCTGCGAGGGGAGGGAGGGGGAGTGGGAGGGAGGAGGGAAGGGGAGGGAGAGAGACGAAGAGAGAGAGAAGAAAAGGAGAGGGAGAAACTAGACGTTGCAAAGACTTTTCAGACTAATTCTTTCACACGTTTCTAACACAAGCAAGAAACAGTGGTGCATTTCCTGGAAATGTCCTGGCAGGAAGGAAAGCCCAAAAACGTGCCTTGGGGCCTCAGAGTAGGCGACGTTAGAAACTCAGCACTTTCAAACGGAAGCCTCAACTCAGAGCAGAAGCGAGAGAAGGGAGACATACAAATGTCTTTGTATTTTAACATCACATTCAAATACTACACCCCTAAGCAACTGGTTTTCCGGGGGACGGGACTCGGCAAATTACTTAATGGGGAGAGAAGAAGTGGGGTGGGGAAAGGTGCTGGGTGGGGGGCGGACTGCCGTGGGCGGAGGGGAGGCTGGGGCCGGCAGCGGATGAATTGCAGACCAGTTGCCAAAACTTTTTTTTCTCTCTCTCTCTCTGCTGCTGCCGCCGCCGCCGCCGCCGCCTTTGCTGCTGCCTTTGCTGCTGCCTTTGCTTTGAATGTGGGTAACTAGGAAACAGCAAGCCGTCTGAGAAGACGGAATTTCCAACGTGTAAAATGTTCTTAACGGAACCATTGAGCGAGTGCAATAAGGCGTGAGGGGGAACTAATCTTCCCATTTAAATGTTTGTGGCAATTTTATCTAAATGAATTTTAATGCTAAACGAGGGTAATTCCCCATTTGTAGCGCGTTTACTTCTCTTTCCTGTGCTTCTAAAGCAGTCGAACATCATGCAATGAACAATAACAATAAAAATACTGTCAAGGCATATTATTCATTTCGAATGTGTTATAATTACAGCTGATTAAATATGATAGGGTAAAATATTTTTAGTTTTCTTTAAAAAAATATTTAAATCATACTAAAAAGTCTCATTCAACCAGCACCCCCCCCCCAATAAAAATAAAAAGCAGGTACAATTGTGTGCCCTTGTTTAGAAGAGGGCGTTTTGTTTTTGCCTTTTAAGAAACATCAAAAACACCCTCAGCACCTCTATTCTTTCTTTCTTTCAGATAAGTGTCCTCCATAACCTCCGAGCTGGCTCTGAAATTTACAAGAGGAAAGCTAAAATCGCATTAAGGGGGAGTGGGGGTGTCCAGGCAAGGGGAGAAAGGATCTGCGGAGAGCAAGGCCCTCACAAAACCGCCACACAGAGCAGGGAACACAGGGAAAGAACACAGTTTGTTTTATTTTTTCTAATTCACTGGACACTAATGGTCGCGATTCTTCATAGTCTCCATATTCCCTGATTCTTCTTCACTGGTACCCTACTCCTTCTCCTAGTGCCCGCCTCTCTCCACTCCCCCCTTCCCATCTCTCTCTCTCTCCCTCTCTGTCTCCCTCCCTCCCTCCTCCCCTTTCTTTCCCTCCCCCAACCAGCGAGAGCACCGTCGAGAAGAAAGGCTGAAAATAACCTACTCACCCAAGCTTGTACTGGGGAGGAGGGGCAAATGGATGGGTAGTTTATAAAGTTTATTATTAATTTTTAAAGTAAATAAATGGTTGTTCACCGCCACTAACCAGCTCTCAAAAGAGAATTATTTCACTAAATATGGAGTATTTATGTCGCCGAAGAATTGCCACTGGGTCCAAATAAGAAATTTAAACAATCCCACACATGGGGTGGGGGCGGGGTGGGGCGGAGGGCGCTGCGCGCGAAGGCTGCTGCTGCTGCTGCTGGTGGTGGAGCTTCTCTCGGTCTGCGCATCCACGTGTTTAGAAACAAGGCCCAATAAACAAAAGGTGAGAATGCGCGGGGCTGCTCCAGCAGGTGAGTCAGTCAATCACACGTCACCTAGTAAACCCAACCCACAGCTGGTTTCTCTTTTCAAATAGAAAATAGAATTGTTCGGGGCGGGTTTATAGGGTGACATGGGCCTGAACGTCAGCCTTGAGTTTAAGGCTCTCTCCTCTGACCCATCCTTTGTTTACAAAGCAATCACTCCTAAAAGGATGATTTTTTTTTTTTAACAGAGAAATTGCCTTAATTAAAATATTTGTATATTTTCTTTAGCTTTGGGAAGCACTTTTTATAGCAGCGATTTTATTTAAATAAAATTATAAGCCATTCCAGCTTAAACATGTTATTTTGTACCATTTAGCTGGCTGCCACGCAGATATTCTGTACAGCTGTTCTGGAAAATTGGTTAATAACCAGTTTTATCCAATGAGAACATAGAGCATATTTATAAAAATTAGATTTTGAAGTCTGGTCTCTTCAATTCACATAGTTAATTTCCTAATAAGCATATACTGCTCATCCTAGGTAATGTTCTTAGTAAAAGACTTACCTCTGTACTTAGGTTTACCATTATGTGCAAGAATAATGTCACCAATACTAGGTGAGTAATTCTGTTGGATGCAATCTGAGTCTAGAGTTAGTTTAGTGCCCTTAGGCCTTAAATTTGCTGATATTAGGAATTCATTAAACCAGTTTAAAGAAATCAGTGACTATTATCAAATAATTTACTTTGTGGTTAAAATTTTCAAGTACATATAAGTCTTAGGGAGCTAAAATTAATTTTCCTCTTTACTGCACTGATCACTGAAAATTTGGGGGGGGCAGTAAACAAATTTTTCAAGCAGTGGAGTCAGCATGACAAAAATAATCTTGTTTTTATTTTAGATTCAGATTTCATTACTGCACTCAAACGTTACTACAACTGGGCTTGGCGTTATTATACAATCCAAACTGTTTCCGTCAGAAACGCTAAGACTCAGTGTGCAATGATTGTTATTAATAATTAGCTCCTTGGTTTCTTGATAGAAAAAGGCTATCAACAAGCATTTGTTTATCCACAACAAAAAGTATAATTAGCTTATCCCACTTAGTAAATCTTGTATGCATGCCAACTCATACCAAACTGCTACTTTTACAAAAAAAATTGCAATAATACAGTTCATTTTTCCAGTCCTTTTTGCACAAAATTTATTTACAATGTCTACATAAATGCTC